TACACAGCAATTTCAGGGTACTGGAAAGATTTCCAGGCTAGAATTTATGTCCATAGAGTCTTCTGGTCACGGTCACCCTCTGCCTGTCCCTCTCAGAGGATGGGGAATGGACCGCCTGTGCACCTGTGGGAATCTCCTCTATTTATCTCTGTTTCTGGCTACCAACTTTACCTAGGCCCCTGGTCTCTCCTCTGGACTCTGACTGAGAGCATGCACGCACGCACACATGAAAGATTCTGGTCTTGCTGTCCTTAGATTTTCTCTGAAAAGCTAGATGCACTTACCCATCAGGGGATCCTTCCAGATCTTTCCTCTGCTCTCCTGCACTGCTTTCCTCAGTTTAACAACCTTTACTGGCTTCCTTTGCTAAAAGAAAATACCAGATCTTGAGCAGGGCATTCAGACTGACTGCTGTGCACTCCCACCCTGTCTCCTGGAATCCCTCCCCTTCTATCAACCCTGTAGGCCCACCGGCCTCTTCACTGCTGCCCAGAGAAGCAGCCATCCTGCCTGTTGCCTTCGCTTATCTCGGTTCTCCAGCCTACAGTGCTGTCCTCTCCCTCCACTGTCTGCTTCTCCAAGCCCTTTCCTGCCCTTGGGTGTCCCCCTTCCCTCTAGGATACCATTTCCAGAGATCTCAGCCCACAGGGATCCTTCTCTACTCGGAAACCCCTTGGAGATCCCACTATCTGTCACCCTGGGTCATCTAACTTCTTCAGCCTTAGCCTTGTTTTCTGCAAAATGGGTGTGATAGTAGTCAGAGCGTTGCTGTAAGGGAGGTAAAGCACACGACATCTTAGCACAGTACCTGGCACAAAACCTGGAGGCAAGTAGTCAAGAAATCAAGGTAAACGTTTTTAACAGTTAAGATTGTAATTTGTATTGCTGCATGATGCTTTGTGTTGTTTTAATCTGACTCTCATGAGGGGTGAACCTCTTGAGAATAGAGGTCAAAGGGCATGAGGGAGGAGCTTGTTTACTGCCACGCCTTTAGCACCAGAGATCCCAGAACATGCCCGTTGAGGATGGGTGAGCAAACCCTAATGTGGGTGTCAGAGGCCTGATGTTGACTCACCCCCCTGGAGCCTCCCTTTCCTCCACATCATCCCTGACATTCTGAGCGTGACCCCAAATCCAAGCCCTGATATTGATTCTCTGTGTTAATTGGACACATTATTTTTTTTTTAATACGAAGGTGTATATGATTAGGTTACATTGTTTGCATTTGTTAGGTAAAGTCCAAAGTTGTAGCCAAGCCCTTCACCCAGGAGGTGTGCTGTATACACTTACATTGAGGGCACATTCTTTCTCCTATCCACGTACTAACCAGGCTGACTCTGCTCAGCTTCCCAGAGAGATCAGTCAAGATTGGGCATGTTCAGGGTGAGATGGCTGTAGACTGTGGAAATATTCTCCAGTCCTCTTTGTCCTCAGTTTCTTTACCTGTGAAATGGGGAGAATAATCTGTGAGAATACACAAGGCATTGCTTTTAAAATGCTTGCTTGGTGCTCAGGTGATGGTTGTACTGGTGGTGGTTTCCTCAGTGCTTTGGTAAAAGCTAGGCTTGTTGATTGTACTCATTTTCTGGAGCTGCCATAAAAAAGTACTGCAAATGGGGTGCCTTAAATGGCAGACATGTATCGTTTCGCAATCCAGGAGCTTAGACATTGGAAATCAAAGTGTCTACAGGGTGGATTCCTTGGGGGAGCTGCAAGGGAGACTGTTCTAGGTCTCTCCCAGCTTCTGGGGGCTGCAGGCTTGCAGACGGCATTCTCCCTAGGCCCTCATGTTGTCTTCGCTTTGGGCACGTCTACCTCTGGGTCCAGATTTCCCCTTTTGATAAAGACACCAGTCATATTGGTTTAGGACCCACCTGAAGGGCCTCATGTTAACTTGACCACCTGGGTAAAGGTCCTATTTCCACTTAAGGTCACATTCTGAAGTCCCAGAGGTTAGGGCATCCACATTCCTATATGTTACACATATGGGGACACAGTTCAGCTAAGAACATTAAAAATGGTTAATAGTTGTATTTCTTTTTTTTAAATTTCAGGTTAGTGTGAGGGTACGAACAACTGGGTCACAATGTTTGCATTTGTTATGTAGAGTTCCGCTTGTGGCTGTGTCCTGCCATATGGGCCATATGTCCTTACATTGTGTCCATTAAGTGGGAGCATCCCACCTGCCCTCTGTTCTCCCCTCTCCCCTTTCCCTAGACCTGCCTCCCCTCAACTTGAATTGAATTGCATTTTTCTCTTATGTGGGTGTGTATTAGATGGTCTACTGGCTTCATATTAGAATTGGTCACACGGGATGATACTTGCATTTCCATTCTTGTGATACTTTATAAGAAGAATGTGTTTCAACTCCATCTAGATTAATACAAAAGTTGTAAAGTCTCCATCTTTTTAATGGCTGAGTAGTATTCCACGGCGTACATGTACCACAGTTTGTTCATTTTATTGTAAGGACATTTGCACCAGATTGTTTATCACAGCTCAATTTATAATCACCAGGATGTGGAAACAACCTAAATGGCCACCAACCCAGGATTGGGCTAATAGTTGTATTTCTTAATGAAATAGAAATACAAAATCCCTCGGCAGTGATTCCACTTCACTCCACTGCACTTGCCTCTCCAGGTTGTTCTTCTAACTGAATGGGGCAAGGGTTTTAGTTTTGACGAAGCTCTGCCTCTGTCTGCAAAGCCAGTCCCTGAAACTTTGCCCTGAGAGGTATTTCCCACATGTGCTTTTGGAGTTACAAATCTATTGTTTCTGTTCATGACATTTTTTTAGGGCCCCCAGGTTGAAAATAACACACCAGATCTCAGGCAGTTGGCATTCTTTCTCTGTTTTTATGGCACTCTGCAAACTTTCATGCTGTTTACATGTGATTTATGTTCCTCTGGTGTTCCCTAAATGGATGTATTAAAACAGATTTAGAATATTAATCTGACATGGTTTAGGCCTATATTGTATAATGTAAATTTATTTATTGGGGATGGTGCAAATCTGGGAGGATAGAGTAAGAACCAGTTCTCAGTAAATATTTCTTGTTGGCTCCTACAACATGGATTTGCAGAGTGCAGATCCTGGATTCCCTTTGTTGTTTGTGGGAAATGCATATTTCCAGCCCTGCCCATAGTCTATGGAGTCTCTGTCTTTTGGGGAGGGGTCCTGGGATTTGCATTTCTATTGTGCCTCAGTTTCAGTGGTTCTGGCCCACCCTAAGAGTTTGGGAACCACTAATGTCCAGCTTCCTCCAGAAGGACATGCATGGTGTTGTTTGACTCTGCTGAGTCACGAAGCTGGAGTCTGTCTAGGGCTAAGGGCATGGAGGGCAGGTGCAGGGCAGAGGGTCCAGGGATCAGCTGTGGGCAGGGAGGAGTGCAGGGACAATGGTGTGGGCAAGTGTGTCTCATTCTGTTGAGAGGTGACATCTGCTGAGTGCAGTGAAATGCCCTGGATTTCCAGTGCCACAGGAAGCCTTGAGGGTTGATGGCGTATGTACTGTTGGCAGGTGGACTGAGCAGGGGAGTGCAGCATTCTGAGCACCATGTGTGTCAACTGGGGAGAGTTGGGGTAGGCTAGGGGGATCTGAGGGGGAGGGGCGGGCAGCTTCCATCCCTGAGGTGCTTCAGGGCCACTTGGTAGCAGTGTGCAAACTCAGATTTCTGAGCTCAAACTAGCCGATCTGCATGCTCTGGGAATATGTATTTTCAAAGATCCCCATGGGGATGGTGACAGTCCCTAGGATTAGCATCTGGAAGTATGAGGGCCTGGGGAAGAACTGGCTTTGGGACCAGTGGGGTTGAGTCCTAGTGCTGTGACATTGATTGTGTTACTAACCTGCTTTGAGCCCTAGTTTCCCTATCGCTAAGATGAAGGTAGAAATACCTTGTTCTTTCTTTTTGTATTGTGAGAGGGAGGGATAAGGGATGTGGTATAATAGGCACATTTTAAGGCAAATAGTAGGCACTATTAGATGGTGGCTTCAAATCACGGGAGATCTGAGATTATAGGAATGTTAATTAGGGCACCATGACAGCCCGCTCAACACGGGAGTCAAGTGAGGGGCCTGGTGATTGGAATTGGGTTACAGGACTGGGCCTTGGCTCTAGTCTAGACAGTACTGTCTCTTGGTTTCCAGAATTAAAACTAGGGGAAGAAAAGCAACAGAAATGTCGAGGCTTAAAAACATAATCATTATCATGCAGGCCAGACGCTCTTCTCTAAGAACTTTATGCACAACCTCAGGAGTTGGGTCCTACTGTTCTCATTTGACTCATGAGGAAATTGAGGTTCAGAGAGAGCTGTCCCCAGCCACACGACCATGACACAGCAGAATCGACTTTCAGACACAAGCTTTCCGGCTCTGGGTCTGCAGCCCCCTATCCCTGCAGCCCCATTGTCCCTGCAGCCCCCTATCCCTGCAGCCCCATGTCCCTGCAGCCCCCTATCCCTGCAGCCCCTTGTCCCTGCCTGTTTAAGCCACATACAGGTCAGAGTGGCCCTTGAACCACGATGCTGAGACTCACAAGTCAGCTGGGCCTCAGGGAAAACGGTTCTGGGTGTTTCTTTGCCATACGTTTCTTCATGTCAAATTGTACCTCCACTTTATGATAAAGTTAGAAAAGCTGGCTTTTCTATAACAGACACAGAGCTGTCATAAACCCCCACTGTTGCCAAAGGCTTGATAAATCCAAAAGTGGATTTTTTCCACTTTATATTGCATTCTGGTGTAAGATTTGACCCTTTTGGGGGGTTAACTAGGGCTTCACAGGGCCCCCCTGACCACTATCCCTTCTCTCTTCTCCAGCGGCCTAGCTGATTCAATCCTCATTTGGCTGATATAAATGTGACTGTCTAGTCAAGGTTTCCTCTACCTGACATGTGACGCGTCGGCATTACCAAACATATTTGTTTTATTCTTAGAGTCTTTTGTCAGAATTCCAGCCTTTGTAACATTTCTTCCTTCCCCTTCTTTCTCCTCTAGGGCATGACCTTCAGTGGTGGTACAAATCAGGGCTGCAAGCAAGCTGCCAAGCCCTGCTCATTCCTTGTTAAGAAAAACAGCTGGATCCATTTCTAATCAACACTTCCCAGCATGACACCCCTGTGTCTCTGAAGGAGACCAGACCAGAGTTTGAAGCTTTCCCAAGACTTCCAGTAGACTTTGCATGCAAAAGGATACTTAGGTTGCCTTTGCACAAATCTGGTTGACTTGACAGACGAAGGAGAAGAAAACAGGTGTGACTTTCACCTAAGAAGTCACACGAACATACTCTGTGGTTAAACCACATAATGGATGATGGTTACCGAAATAGCCCAAACCTCTACTGGGGAGCAAGGGATATAGCTGGAGAGGCAGCCAGGCAGTCCCGGACCCGAGGAATGGATGACTACAAGTACCAGGACAATTACGAGGGCTATGCCCCCAGCGATGGCTATTATCGCGGCAATGAGTCCTACCCAGAAGAAGATGCACAGAGCGATGTCACAGAAGGCCATGATGAGGAAGATGAAATCTATGAGGGCGAATACCAGGGCATCCCTCACCCTGATGAGGTCAGGGCCAAGCCGACCAAGATGGCGCCCTCCCGGGCAGATGGCCTTCGAGGCCAGGCAGACCTCATGGCTGAGAGGATGGAGGACGAGGAGCAGTTGGCCCACCAGTATGAGACCATCATGGAGGAGTGTGGTCACGGCCGCTTTCAGTGGACCCTGTTTTTCGTCTTGGGTTTGGCCCTGATGGCTGATGGGGTGGAGGTGTTCGTGGTGAGTTTTGCCCTGCCCAGTGCAGAGAAGGACATGTGTCTGTCTAGTGCCAAGAAAGGAATGCTGGGTAAGTGGGGATTTCCAATGACCCTTCTCTTTGTGGTATTTGAATATGAAAGGGAAGAAGTAAAATGTGGTGGTACCTGTCACTGTTAGTACTATAAAAATATCACAATATACCAATTTTGCTGTTAAGGTATTTTTATCTAAGAGAAATCAATTAATTGGCTCAAGTTCATACAGCTGGTGAGTAACAGAGCTTGGATTCTCATCTACCAGGTCTGTCTGGTGTTTGAACTTTTGGTTTTCAAAATTTTCTTGCCTCCGGTGGTGCCCATAGCTCAGTGGGTAGGGTGCTGGCCATGTGCATCAGGGTTGGTGGGTTTGAACCCAGCCTGGCCTGCTGAAAAAACAAAAAAGTAGCCAGGCATTGTGGCAGGTGTGTGTAGTCCCAGGTACTTGGGAGGATGAGGCAAGAGAATCGGTTAAGCCCAGGAGTTGGAGGTTGCTGTGAGCTGTGATGCCACAGCACTCTACCGAGGGTGACATAGTGAGACTCTGTCTCAATTAAAAAAAAGTTTTTTTTTTCTTGCCTTATTAAGTCAAATTGCTTCTTCTTCATGTTAAACCATCTTTCACTTCCAAATGACAAAGGCATTTTGGGAGTGGCAGGCTGGAGGTCTTATCCACTTGGTCTTTCTCTCTGTATCTTCCAGAATTGGACAGGATCTGCTCTTAGTTTCTCTTGTGTGAGTGGGCTGATTGCCCATGTGCCTTGGGGATGAATGGTGGGCCTGAGAACCCCTGTGGAGCCATTGCAGGACATTGGGAACCACAGGGAGAAGCGCAGATGGATCCTGCAGGATAGAGGACCAGCTTTGCAAATCAGTTATGAGACAGTGCCATCAGAGCCAAGTCCCAGATATCTGGGTTGGAGGCAGAGAGGATTTCATGAAGTTAGAGAGAGGATGGGCACAAATGGTGTGATATAGAAGAGGAGAGTTACCATCACAGAGATAGGGGTTTATCTTGGTTACCAAGTGTCCTGCAAAACATATCCACTCTCTAAACTTAGAGCCATGCAATGGATGGTGCCACAACCTGCAGTTATTGAGAATTTACAGAGTCAAATTCTCATTCAAGTTCAAGACATGCTCGGGGACCCTGAGGAGTTAAAAACTCATCTAACAACTTAGCTCATTCATTCAGCAAATTTTTATTACTGGCCTATAGTGTGTTAGTCTCTATGCTCAAGCCCTAGGAAGAAAATCGTCCTTGTCTCTCTAAGAATTTAGCTGGACAAACAAGCATAAAGGATTATTTAGTTTCTGTAGGGATAAGCCAAGAGGATTATTTAGTTTCCGTAGGGATAAGCACATGAAATAAATACCTTGTGTGATTCCAGTCCCCAACACTGGCTTCAGAATTGGGGTTGACAAACATTTCTGTAAAGGTTCAGGTAGTAAATATTTTAGACTTTACAGACCCAGATGGCCTCTGTCACAGCTCAGCTCTGCTGCTGTAGTATTAAAGCAGTCATTGACAACATGAAAGTGAATAAACGGGCATGACTTCATTCAAATTAAACTTTATTTACAAAAACAATCTGGGGGCCAGATTTAGCCTGTGGGCAGCAGTTTGCTACCCCTTGATTTGGAGTCAGTATAAAGAAGATTGGGATTTAAAACAAGAAAACATCTGCATAAGGAATGGTCCCTGAGAGCTGTTACAAATTGTTTACACATTTGTGCTTAACCAAAGGGTCATTTAAAATAATTAGAACTGTGTCAGCTATGAGCATCGAGAACCAAAGAGATTGAGTTTATATAAACAGAAGAAATGATGTGAGAAGCAAGGATATTACCCAGAGTTCTTGAACACCAACAGCATTTTAGTATGATTCTTTTTTATATTAAAAGAAAATTCTGCTCGATGCCTTTAAGTGTAAACAGTAGATATTTTTTAAGGGACAAAAACAGAAAAAGAAGAAAAGAAAAACCCAAAACAAAACAAGACTATCCCCAGCTGGCTGGGGTAAACATTTCCAAGACATTAATTTGTTTTGTGGTTTCCCCAACTGAAGCCCTGGGTCCCTGTTAGTCCAAACTGGCAATGTCAGTAATGATTTTATGCCCTGCCGGTCTTGCTGGCACCATAGTGCCTGGCGACCTCATTAGCAGAACTGCAGTATGGTTGTGGCTCCTGCTGGCTCCCAGGACAAATGCTACGATTTGGGGGAACATGGTTCTAATCTGGAGAGCTCGCATTTGTGCAATTTTGCTTTCAATGTTTGCCAAGAAGATGCTATGACTCAGCCTAAGAGGAGCAGGCCGCTCGGCTGACAGAGATGGTTCCCTGCACACTTGTGGGACTCATTTTGTGGTCACGAAAGTGGGTGTCTAAGTGTTTTCAGGGGAGTGGATGATCTGAAAGTCTCTGGAGGCCAGAATTTCCACATACCCTTTAGAGTCACCTTTTTATCCTTGGGTGTAAACACGAGGGAAACAGATTCAGGGAGTTTTCCTAAGGTCGCACATGTAGTAAGCGCTGAGTGCAAAGCCTGTGCTCATTCTGCTTCACAATCCTGCCCTCCTCTCGTGCCTGGTCTGCGGAAAAGAAGTGAGGCCAGGGCACAGCCTTCTAGTCCCCAAGCACCCTGGAGATTGTTTAGAATGCCGCCGATTGCTTCCAACGGAAAGGAACACCGTGCCTGGTCATGTGTCAGACTGGAGACTGGCAATTGGCTGTATCATTTGTCAGCTGGTATCCTTATGGGCAAATTATAACTCCTCTACTTCTCAGTTTTCCATCTATGGAGTAAGAATAGTAATCCGTTATTGTGAGGGCTGAATGAGAGAATGCAAGTGAAGCAGCTCCTACGGGGTGCTTCCTTCTTGATACTTCGTATTCCGACATTCTCCCTTTCCGACATTCCTAGTGAGGGACAGTTGCAGGGAGATGGTTGGGCAACATGCCCCTGGAGCAGTTGCTGGGGACTGATCCTTGCTGTGCTGATTCTTAGCAGGACGAATTCCAGAAAGTTGCTTAGCTTCTCTGTGCCTTGGTTTCTTTGTCTGCAAAATGGAGATAATAATGGTGTCTATGTCCCAGGGCTTTGGTGAGGATTAAATATGGAACCTGGCTGAAACAGTGCCTGAACATAATAGGTGCTCAGGAAATCTTAGTTGTTATTATTGCTGACTATGGTTGCTATTATTACTAAACCAATTGCTTGGTAATGATGAGCTGCTCAAAGTTGGAAACAGATTTTCTCAGGTGACATGGAAAACTTTTTTCAGCCCTCAATTTTTTTTTCAAATTGCAGACATTTAAGGTCAAGCTACCCTAACTGAGCTGGTGCAAAGGCCATTTGCATTCAATCACTAATCCAGTTCTTCTCTCTTTTCCCTTCCTTTCTCTCTTTGTTTTAAAAAAGAAACTCTCTGAAAGTCATACATCTAGGCTTATCTCCAGTTGTGCATTACTTGCTGGGCAGGAATAGAATTCAGTAAGAGAATTCTTCACTCCTAAATTGAGATCTCAAATCATAGGATATTTTGTTATTTTCTTCCTGGAAATGAATGAATTGGTTCAAAAAATAAAAGAAGTTTCCCCTGCCCAGGTGACAAAAATAGCTGGGTGCCATAGGGTCACTTTTCTGAGTTTTTAGAAGGATGAAAATTTGCTCCTCTTGAGTGTTGTGTTGTACTGGGTCCCTCATCTAAAACTGTGTCACCTGGGGAAGAAAAATGTCTATGGGCCCGGTAGTAGCACTGAAGGCTCAGCCCTGCTAGTATTCAGAGGCAGGTTGGTCTCCTTCAAGACAAGGAGAATGCATTTATTTGTTAATTATAGTTTTCACACTTTTTTTTTTTTTTAAAGAAAATCAGGCATTACCATGTGCCTGGTACTCCTCTGCTCTAAACAATATATGAAGACAAAGTCCTGGACTTACTGAGTTTTATCTAACTGTGGAAATAGAGGTCACACACACACACACACAAATACAATACAGTTGTGTAGTGCGACACTCAATCTTACCGCTTTTCCTGATAGGAGTAATGAAGACAGTGTAAGGGACAGAGTCTGAGGTTGGGAGGTTTTGGAGTTAGGGGACTTGTTTTTGTATCAGCTCTACTATTCAATGGTTGTGTGAGTTTGGGCTGATCTGAAGTCTTCCTTCTGAGATTCTGCAATTTTAGCTGGTTAGTGCATAAACCCACATTTCCTTCAAACTCACTTCAGCTGATATTTATGCACTTTGTAGGTATTTGTAAAAAAATCACCCAAAGAAATGACTTCAGAGATAGGACGTGCAGGGCAACCTGGTACACTTGGTTCTTTTAAAAGACATTGGATTGTTGGTGTCTCGGGGCCAAGGATCCCTCGTTGCCTTGCAGCAAGGATGCCATCTTGGCCGCACAGAAGACAAACCAGCATCCTCCTCCTCTGTCCACACTCGATAAATTGATACCAAAGTTTTTTCACACTTGTAACAAAAAAACTCCTTCCTGGCACTGTAAGCTATTCCCTCCCTTCATACCTACGGAAAGAAAGCGGCTGCCCTTTGAGGAAGAGTCCTGCGTTTTGCTGCCGAGCTTCCCTTGGTGTGTATTTATTTCCTGGGCTGCTGCTTTTTCTTGGCATCTGCAGTGAAAAGACTTTGGGGGTTCTCCGCCTCAGAGAGTGATTTAGAGCCTAACATTTCCCTCCCGGAGCTTGTTGTCTACAGGGCTATCTGGGGGACACGGCAACGTCACACAGGGCAGACTCCTAACAACACGTTGCGAGCTGAATTTTCATGGCGGCTCAGAGATGGATGTATTACTCTGCTGTCATGGAAGATTATCCTTTAATTGTTTTATATGCAAATTCTAGCTCAGCATGGGGCAGAACATTTGATTTATGAGCCATTTTTTCTTTAGAGTGTCAGTTCCTAAAAGAAGAAACCACTCTGTGTCCTAGGGGGGGTCATGCATCTGGTGCAAAGTGTGGGCCCCCCTGACGGTGAAATCCACCCCTAGGAATTTTCGTATATTCCTTTTCCCTTTTGATTTGTATGAGTTG